TAACCCATTTTCTCTTGTGTGAGAAAAGGATTGGAAATATTCTTAGGAAAACTTTTCTATGAATCTCACACTTTGTGCCCTTACTGTACATTGTTCTCATCATCTGGAAACCATTAAACGCAATGTTTCCTCTTATCAGCCCCAATTTTGCCTTTGGTCACCGTTCAATACCCTGCCTCTATCATAGATCTATTCATCGCGCCAGAAGAGAGCGTTATTGCTTACTTTCAGAAACGCTGAGCTAAAATAAAAGTCAAGGTGTTAGAAATATTCAAGTTGTGACCTTCAATAAAAAATAAAAAATATATAAAATGTCAACATTTTATATATATTCCGTCTAATTTTTATATATATAATTTGTCTGCCGTCGCCCCTCTATATTTCCTTAACTCAGCCCAATTTTCTTTGAGCCTATACTGCCCCCTGAAAGCCTCCAGCGCCCACAAGGGGGCGTTATCGCCCACTTTGAAAAACGCTAGTTTAATGTATTTAACCAATAAAACTAAAACATTTTTGAAGTATGCAATATTCATTTCGTTATAAATAATGTAAAAAAAATACATAAATAATGAATATAATAGATGCGTAAATATTAACAATAAAAGAATTGAGAACTCATATCCCGTCGCTCACTCGTCCTCTTTGACGCAATTGAAAGTAAGGCCTACCTAAAATAATGTATTCTCATGAATATTTAACGTAACTTTTGTTAACATAGGATCCAAGTATTTACAGTAAACAATTTATTATAGAATATTAAAATAAAATTAAATAATTGAGCTGAATCGTTAGCGAATCCCCTTCTTCGTGGCTTACAGAATTGTGTTCGTTTTCAAAATTAGATCGATAAGTTTTGAAGAAAACGTTACTATTTTTCATAAATTTCTTGAAAAATCAAAAAATATATGGTAATATAAATGAAGCTCCATGATCTCGTTTGAGACTTACAGTGGGTGAAAGTGATAATATTCATTCAAGAGGCCGATTGAAAGGACATTGTCACTTTTATCCATTGTATCAGATATTCTTGACAATTTCACGTTCTTATTAATTAATATTATACTTCGTACTTCCAGTGTGTGTTTACATAAATTATCATCTGCATGTAAATCATTAGTAATAGAGTAAAACCAACAAATGCCGGAACTTGACTCGACGGTACTATTTTGTTTTACCCTGTTTCACAGGCATTCCGCCAATCTCCCTTATCATCTTTACTATCTTCTTCAGTTTGCGAGGTGTAAATTAATAATTGCTGTGAAAAAATGTAGAAGAACAAATATAAAAGCGAAAAATAACGATACAAAAGAAAATGAAAGAGCATTTCGGCGATGATTTGGTATTCAGTTTGGTTTTATACACATATGGCAAAGCGAAACATGAGCGATCTGTCAGGGGTCTTTTATGGAAAACTAGTTTTTATTTAGGTGTTATAAACGTGATAAAACCTCATGTTATTGGCACGTTGACAAGATGAGAACCGCCGATCAAATATGTTTTTATCCGCTCTGCCATATGTGAGCATAATATCTGGCTATACTTTCCCGTGTTTGGTTTACAATAGCTCGATTTCTTTTATTCCGTCCATCTCTACACAGGTTCCGATTTTCAGAGAACATTTCTTCGGTTAACGTAATCGTTTTACCGAAAAATATTTGAATTTTTCACTTTCGAAATGTTGAGACTCTGCTTAATCGGGTTTTATTATATTATTTTACTATAAAATCAAATTATTAAAAATAATTTATATATTATATAAATTAATAAATGTTTGTTTCCGAAATATAATTTTTCACATATAATTTAATAATATATTAATACAAAAAATGAAAAAAAAAATAAAAAATAAAAAAAGGAAGAAAATAAATTCGTCAGAGGGCGTCGATCGTTTCTCTTTCCGCCATTGAGCAGTCAGAGCGCGGCCATTTTAGATGTCATAAGTTGCAGCGATTATTGGTAAAAAAACAATAACAGTACGATCGCAAGAATTTGCTTTCGTTATTTAATCGAAATTCTCCAGTCGAATATTGAAATTATTTTTTACCCATTAAGATAATCGGCATTAACACGTAATTTAAATTTGGGCCGATCGCGAGGCGTAGTCCAATGGTTATTAATTATTTTTACATATCGAGTCCGCACTTAAACTGACCATTGTGACGTATATTGGCCGACCACGTGACATACCTGACCGGGTCAATGTGAGATTCACATCGGATCGTTTTCATCGTTCGAATGTCGAGTTTAGATCTAAATTTAGAAATCTGCTGAGCATTTACTGTAAATTGTAAGGTAAGTAAAGCCGTTTTTTAATTATCTTCAATTAATTTTAAGCTCCAAAGCGCCATATTTCGCCTCGCAACAGCGTGCAACGTGCTGTTGTTGATCGTTGAAATCGATTAATTATTATTAATCAATTACAATCATTTTGAATTTAAATCGAGCGACGTCACAATTTCCTGGTGAAATCGTGAAATTAAACCAATTCATTGGCGATTTCGCAAGGGAAGTTTGACTTTGTCTCTTGTCTGCCATGTTTTTATCACAATTATCGTTGTTGTTGTTGCTGAAAATCACAATTAATGCTCTTTTATTGATCTAATTTGCATAAAATTCGGATCTTACGTCTTAAAATTCATATCTCCCTGCATAAATTCACTTCATCTATTGTCTTAATGCTTATTCTTGTAAATTTAGCGTTATTATAATCAAATATACAGTCGACCCCCCTATAACACTGTTTGATTATTTCGTTTTATATGAATTCCCTGTTGTAAGAGTCACTTAGATTTTACAAATACGTGTGCCGGGCTATGAACGGCTCACGTATTTGTAAAATCTAAGTGACTCGTACAACATGGAATTCATATAAAACGAAATAATCAAACAGTGTTATAGGGGGGGTCGACTGTACTCTAAATATGTGGAGCGTAGAAGTAAAAGAATGCTTTCAAATTCATCAAACTATTTTTGGCTGCTTTAATATAGTATTACATATTATACAAGAAATTAATGATGTCTCGGTTAGAGTTATTTTACTAAAAATGTATAAATTAATCAAGTTACTTGCCTAATTAAAAAATTTCATCCGCTTTTAGTCATTCCTGTTGTTTATCCTTACGGATATCCAGTTAATTCAGTTTATCGTAGATAATTCCGATCGAGAATTTTAGCCGATCTTCCCTTATAGGCTGGCCTGGTTTAGCAAAAATTGAGGCTGTATGATAGTCTGTAATATGTGCCGTGCATTAAACTGCGAGAGATTGATTATATCATCAGCAAAAGTGGTCGAAAAAGTATTTACGTGAATAAAGTTATTTCTCTACCTTTTATGTTGATGCTTCTGGACTTGTAAACAAATAAGAGAAAGTAGGAATTCATTTTCAATATGTCATTACATAAATTATATTATTCAGTCATTTTTGCTGAAGGTAGATGAAGTTGTCATTTCTTACTAAGATTAATAATCGGGAATAAATTTTTGAAATTTTTAATCAAATAATTAAAGAATTCTGGAAGAGAAGATAGGTATTATTGTGATTTTCTATTCATTTGTAGCTAGAACTATTTTAAGATGATCAATACAAAACCTTCCTCGCTTATTTCTAGCCATTTATACACGAGTACGAATGTTTTCGGCCTTCCTAATAGGCCTTCTTCTATCATCAACGATGACGTCACTACTAAGACGATGCCTATGTAAACATTGACACCGTTTAAACTTCTACCAACTGACGCTCTAACAGACCACAGTGTACCTGTAGAAGGCCGAAAATGTTCGTACCCGTGTATAAACGGCTAGAAATAAGTGAGGAAGATTTTGTATTGATCATTGTGATTTTCATCTGTTACCAGATCTTTACAATGGCAATTAGGATAGTTTTGTAAGTTAGTATTTGCACTTCTTTGACTACAGTTAATATAAAAAGATGAATTAGTAACATTATAAAGGAGAAGATAAAAACAAACAATCAAAGTTTTGTTTTGGATTATAATTATAGTAATTATAGCCAACAACTAGAATCAAAACGAGTCTTGTTAGCATAACTTGTAACATGCATAGTAAGCAGATGTTTCATGTTTCAGTCGAATTCTAGTCGATCTTCTCTTCCTGAATCTTCTATATTAATTAAATTAATTTTTAATTGTTAGCCTTAATGCAAAATGGTGGCTTAACTGATTATCTTTATTAGAACAGTTCAAAACTTTATTGCTGGATAAAGTAAAGGTTCTTCGTTGAGAATCACTTGTCTACGTGGACATTCTTTTTAACTAGGACTGGCTATACCAAAGGGAGCGAGCCCACACGAATTCATAATAAAAATCCTTTATCGTTATATGCCGCTACTATTTAGCATGCAAGTTAAGGTCTTTAAAGAAGAATTTATGTAAGTTCGTTCCTTTAATATAACAAGTTTTAGTTAAAAAGAAAGTCCAAGTAGACAAACTATACTCAACGTAGAAAATGAAGCTATAATGTTGATGAAATTTGGAGAAAAATATCACTTTTATTGATGCAACAACAGATTAAAAATATGTTTAGCAGGTGTCCTATAAAATTACAATGATGCTATTTTAAAATATTTAAAGCTGCATTCCTTATCTAATATATATTGAAAGGTAGTATAAATTAAAAAAAAAAATAAATCAGATAACTGTTCAGTTTGGGAAGCCATAGCTTTAATAAATGAAAGGTTTCTGGTCAAATATGTGACCATCTTCAGCATACAAGAGACATATTTAATGAAATAAAATGATGTAGAACTGAAGTAAATTTAAAATAAAAGAGAACGAAAGCAAGTATTAATATTATAATTAGTTATAACACAATTATAACACAAATAATAAAACACAATAAAATTTATGCAGTAATGCAGGGGAGTACAGGGGGGTGTGTACGTTCTCACCAAACTCTAACTCAGAAATGGCAGAGATTTACTTTATTTGTTAGCGACAATAAGCACAAAGAACTTTTCATTTTTCCATAATCCAGGAAGGAAGTATTTTCAGACCTATGTTTATATGAAATTAATAGCATTTCTACTACTTCATAAGCCGATTGATTAGATGAATTACTATTGAGAGTTTAAATATTTAACTAGTCACAAAGTACATACAATTGTAAGAAGTACAGTAAGACTCCGCTTAATGCTGCCTTGCTTAACACTGATTTGATATNCATTCGAAATACCACTTAAAATTTTCATTTGAACGAGAAATGTTTCTTTATTTTGGTGGAAGTTGTAAAAAGAAAACAAAGTAATTGCACCTGCTACGGAAAAATGCAATGAAGTAAAAAATATTATTAATTGAAAGTTTTCGTGGTAATGTATCAGTGAAAATAATAAATAATAGATGTTATATATTGTACCAGTTGTAAAAACAAAACTACTGTGAATAGTAAATTTCTTTTGATTACATTTCATTCCCCAAACAGCCATAACTATCATTAAACGAATCCAGTTTTTAACTTCTCGGGGTGTTCATCTTCGGAATAAGGACGTATTTGTAGATTTCTCACTTTTGACGTCGGCATTTTGGATTGACGTTCTTCTAATGCCATCAAATATCTGTGAATGAAAATAGAGAATATTATTTCTAAAGAAAACAAAAGGTAACAATCAGCAACGAGTTGCGTAACTTTCCCGACGAAAAGTTTAGAAAAGTTGCGTGTTGATCCATCTGTTACGAGATTTAATTTAATTAAAAAATAACTTTTATATTATTAATAACCCACATGAGCCCGGGCAAAGAATAACAACAGCAAAGATTAACATTATCAGTTTATTTTGTACGGTATTAGCAGACGAATAGACTTTTTAAAACGTGTTACATTGATCGTTCGGTTTGATAAACTCTTTCGTAAGATAACCTTTGTAGTTATAGAGTATATCTTACCCGTTTTCATCGGGTGCAAAAAATTAGGAAAAAAAATGCATCTAGTAGATTATGAGCCGAGTTTTTCAAGGTAATCCTTAATATGCCTAAGTACTCAATAAAAACTAAACATAGTTGAAAAACAAAAATCGCATCTAAAATAGTACAGTAAAAGCCGTTCTTCAGGCTAAGCTTTAATCCTCTCCCTTTTTTCCAGTGGGGGAATTTCGACAAATTCCTTCTTATTGTGTGTTTTCATGACGTACCCTAATTGTGTACAAAATTTCACTTCTTTAGATTCAGCGGTTTGCTCTGGGCGATGATGAATCAGTCAATCACTCAGTCAGTCAGGACAAGTAATTTTATATATTTAGATTAATATGGCTGCTAATTAAATTAATGGTCAAGTGAATAAAACCACTTAATACTGGTAATTGGTCATGAGTTCACTCCTGGCAAACCAGCTGACCACGTGGAGTTTTCTTGATTTTCTTTACATTTAATAAAACCTACATAGGAGCCAGTTTCCCATACAAAGTCCTCTCAAAAAGTATCCCCCCCGGCAAATCGTCTGTGTGTCTCATTGCCGTATACAAATAAACGATAACAGGTTATTACTGCAAGTGTGGCTATTATTTTATAACTAGTGTTGCCCATAAAGTTAATGCAGTTTATTCAACGTTTTAAATTCACTTATATTTTAGATTTATTGAAATGGTAATAACTTACATTAAGAATGAGGCATTTTGCACGCGATACTTAATTGTAAACACGAGTACATTAAGAGCACCTTCCTCTAATGGGTATTTGTTGAAGTATATAGCGTAATCTCGTGCATTGATTAATTGATTTGTCAGCAACGAAACACGATATAGAAGTCCACACTTTGACTTATTAAGATAATGCATATATTTTCGATGTCTCCATAGAAACTAATTGCTTCGCTGAGTTTTAAAATGCCTTTATCTTAAAAGGTATTTTATGGTAAGTAGTCCATTTTACATAATTTTCTTATCAAATATTCATTCTCTTCTATGAAGTTTTATCAGATAGCATATATTATAGAAAGATTCATTTAAAAATTGCATTAAAATGGACACCAATGAACTTTTCCCAGACTTAATTTTATCTCCTTTCTTGCTAATTTTGAGAATTTCAGGATTCGATATTTCATTCTTGAGTAATAAAAAGAAGGGTAAATTTATGTTCTTCTATGTCTCCATATTGAAAGCGTTCACTTTCATTAAAGGTACAATTTATGCCATGGTTCTATACACCCAGAACGAGACTATGGCCATGGATTTATGCGAAATATCTGGAGCTTATAAAGAACACGCGAATGCCATGAGATTCACAATGCTAACATTAAATCTAGTTACACTTCATTGTCTATGCGCATGGAATTCTGAAGATTA